ACTATTTTACATAGGAAATAATAAATAACTCAAAGATATTTCGAAACTTTCTTTAAAATTAGGAGGGCGTTATGTACACAAAGGAAGAAAGAAGGAAAAGAGAGAGAGCAGGATCAATAAACATATACGCACATAACCCCCTCCCGCAGTAATTTCACCCTCAGTAGCGCGATCGGATCGCGCGATCGCGAAGTCTGAACGCGCTCTTAAGGCGGCGTTTACACTTCACGACACGGGAGAATCGGAGAAGTGCAGTTTGCAAAATCGATCGCGCGACGAGGAAAGAATAGCCATCGATCTGGCAATTGCGGAGATTCCGCGATCCGTCGATTTAGGAGACTTCCGATCGTCAAATCTCCGCAGTGCTAGTGACCAGCGCCGATCGATACCTATCCAACCATTTGCCGTGCTGGGGGCTTAATCTCCGTAATCGCCAGATCATTACCTCGTCGCGCAATCTCTTTAATCGCCGAATACCTTCAGTCGCAAAATATGAGTGCGGTGTACTACTCTGTCCCTTTTCCCTGATACTCCATTTAGAGTGTCAGTCGGTACACATCGATTCTTCTGGGTCACTTTCCATATCGACGATTTTCCAGATCGTTATGGTCCTGTTCTCCTAGAAGATTCTCTTCCGCGATCCATCAGTGCGACAAGGTAGAACGCAACTCTTGACATTGAATCTCCACAACCAATACCACATTAGCCACGAAACACGTGAATGAGAAATGCTCAAATTGCTTGTCCCAACGGGATTGTACTTCAACTGTACTTGTGAATACTCTGCCCCTGCGTTCTTCTCTTACCACCAATACTACCTTCATAAACCAAGCATACGGTTACAGGCTTTGCTCTGCTAAGCGATAACCTCCGGCAGGAGCAACAGCGCGCACTGTGGCATGAAGATGTTAAAGGGTATGCCTTGGACGATATTGTTCACTCCCCTATCCTATCCTACTATGTCGCTTTCACGTCCATTTTACTACTATCTATAATCCGCTACTCTAATCCGTTTTCCGGAAGAGTGCGCTCTAATTCACGCCACCAAGGTCGCCCCTTACCCACTCACCTCGATGGGGCGTCCCGCGTTCAAAAATGGTGATTTGTGTGGTCGAACACTATTCAAAAGATTCCCTTCTTTTATAATTACTCATAGGGTGGTAAGTAACACGAAAAAGAAAAAATGGACTCAATACGCCGAAATGCGGACCATGTAGATTCCCATACTGAACCGCACTTCTAGGTGGGTAAAGTGAAGAAAGAGCGTGGTTGGACGAGTTTTCACTGGATGGTGGAGGTACTTTTTCCTTAACACCTCACTCATCATTCGAAATGGAGAGAGTTGCTAGAGGAACAACCGCACCATCAGGCAGCAGTCAATATCGCCACTGAATTGCGAACTGAAGGTCATGCAGGTTTTTTTAACTATTTCACCATGATAATTGCTCTTCAACGCCGCAGTTCGCGCTATCACAAGAATGCTGAGTTGGGAGCACATGTCTTAACTTCAGGCGGGACTCCAACCAGTTCAGACGCTTGCCCCATAAATCAGCATTGTTACGTCAACTGACAGAGCGCGAACGGCGGTGTTGAACAGCCATCATGATCGGTTTACCTGCGCCCTTGCACTGTACTGGGCATCCAACACCAATGCAGAAGGGATGCTTATCCAACCGTAATGGGACCAAATCCGCTCAAAATCACAACAAACAAGTAACAGATCAAAAATACACCAGAAGAAATAAAGAAGAAAACCGTACTAGTGAGAGCAAATCGTTTGGGATCTGTGCAAGGCGGCACTGCATAGAAGAAAGAATAAGGCCCTATTTAAGTCCAAATTCAGAAGGAAACTAAGGCTACATTCATGCCCACCGCTGAACTGAGGAATCGGAGAATCTCCGTCTAAGTGAATAAAGTAAAAACTTGATGATTTGACTGGAGTGTCAGATAATCGTATAATCCACGAAAAGGAGTAGATGCGATCTCCGATCCATCCCAAAACCATCAACATGAAAGAGAAAAAGCCGCATAACCAGTTATACCATAACCTCTTGAAAAATGCCTTCCTCTAGGCTTAAGAGCGGTCTAAAAGAGCAGAATGAGGGCGAACAGGAGCGGACAGTGAGAGGACACACTGATGAGTCATCGGAACGCGAGATGACTTGTCAAGACGTGAAAAAACACGTGCTAAAAACTACAACCGTATGCATCGCTGTTTCTTTAGATGCAGGGCTGATTTTCTGCGGCCAGGGATTTGATCTGAAGAAATTTAGGAAGTTGCCTCAAAAAGATCCATGCCCTTACGTAGTTGAGGGGGAGAGGGGGGCACTCGCCAGCACCTTCGTAGCCCCTCTTCTTATCAAGGCTTATGTAGTCCATGTCGTCAGCCCTGTCGCCACAGACGAGCCCGAGGGTTGGAGACAACGATGATTCGTCTGCGATGACGGGCGAAACGGATCATCTGTGCTTTGGAGTGTATTCTTTTTCCAATATTTTGTTTTTCTTTGCTTCTAATTAGGCTTGGTGATGACAGTGCAGGGCACATCCTCCACAGTCGGTTGCACAGACACCGCACGCCGGTGCTACTCTCAAGAAACCCATTGTTTATGGTGTCCTCGGAGTTTCTTTTTGCTTTTTTTTTTTGAGCTACCGGTTCATAACTGAACAGTATTCTAATGGGTGTTCTTAAAGTTGCAAGGTATGAACGCGACCTTATCCTAAGAAGATCAGAGATTTCCCTGCCCTGTGGTGACTTAAGCTAAACGAAAAAAGGAGTTCCTGAGCTCCACATTAATAGTAGTAATTGTAGAACAAAGCGCAGTTAATTTGCGCTTGTTTACCATTCGCTGGCATTAGATTAGTCTGTCTACCACCGTGTGTTCGGATGACCGATATCGATTAGGGCCGCGGTATTATTACGATGGAGGATAAAGACATTGCTAGTATTTTATAGACTTCTAATGTTTCAGTATCACAAATTTTTTCGGCAATGAGAACCTAGAGAATATAGTGCAAGTAGGAGAGACAGCTCTTAATCCTACCCTGCTTTTCACGATTCACTAACAACAAG